TGCAGGTGGAGATCAGCGTGAGGAGATAAGCTTGGGAACACATATATCTGAGTTCTCTATTAGACATCCAAATAGTACAGTAGGGAAGGGTAAAAGGGAAATTTTCAACTTACAGTAATACTGGCCTGCAATATATCGAAACTGAAGGCTGTTTTAACTACAACCATTCTAACAAGTTAAAGCTGTTAAAAATCCATGACCTCTAAGTGACTCCAGACCCTTGCTGAACGAATTCCATCCAGAAATTTTTGAACCCATCGTATATAAACCTATGAACATACTTTCTAGAGCATTGCTTATCAATTTTGTATTAGCAAACACTCTGTGAGCCCTGCTTTCTTTTTAAAAATATATACATATATATTTTATTGATTTCAGGGAGGGAGAGAGAGGGAGAGAAAAAACATCAATGATGAGAGAGAATCATTGACCTGCTGCCTCCTGCATGCCCCCTACTGGGGATTGAGTCTGCAACCTGGGCACATGCCCTCGACGGGAATAAAACCCATAACCCTGCAGTCCACAGGCTGACGCTATATCCACTGAGCCAAACCAGCTAGGGTTGAACCCTGCTTTCTGTGATATAAAATCCCCTCATAGCCCTAGCCAGTTTGGCTTAGTGGATAGAGTGTCAGCCTGTGGACTGCAGGGTACAGGGTTCGATTTCCGGTCAGGGCACATGCCCAGGTTAAGGGCTCAATACCCAGTAGGAGGCATGTAGGAGGCAGCCAATCAATGATTCTCTCTCATCTATGTTTCTATCTCCCTCTCACTTCCCCTCTGAAATCAACAAACTATATTAAAAAATAAAATCCCCTCATACTTTTTCTTCTAGTGAACTACTCAGTGAATGTCTTCACTAGTATGTGTTCACTTGCCTAGCATGTTAGTATTATTACTTTTTTAAAATGTTGGTAGTCTTATTCTGTGTGTGTTTCTTTTTTATGAGCAATTTCTTTAAGAAAATATATTGATTTCAGAGAGGAAGTGAGAGGGAGAGATAAAAGAAACATCAATGACAAGAGAGAATCCTTGATCCACTGCCTCCTGCACGATCCCTACTGGGAATTGAGCTCAAAACCTGGGCATATGCCCTGACCAAGAATTGAACAGTAACCACCTGGTTCATAGGTCAAGGCTCAACCACTGGGCAACACTGGCCAGGCTGGTAGTCTTTGGTTTATTCTTTGGCAACAAGTAGTTGGATATTAATTTGGGAGTCTTTGGCATATAGATATTATTGAAAATGATGAGACTCTAATATGAAAAGATTGGGACAAAGTGGATGACCCTGTAGAAGAGACTGAGACAGTGACCAGGGAGGTGTCCTTGAAGCCAAACGAAGAACCGTATCCAAAAGGTGAAAATGATAAACTGTGTCAGATGCTAATAGACAATTTGATGCAGACAGCCGTTAATATATAATTTGAATTAGCCATTTCAGATTTGTTTACCAGAGCAATTATTTTGTTAGCTAGCTTTCTAAATCTTAGCAACTTCTAAGTGACGCTTGTAGATTTTCATTGTATCTACAACTGAACTTGTGGTGTTTCTTTAGAACAGTTATTTCTTATAATTCATATTTTGTGAATTCATCGCCAATATGATCATTTTTGTGAATTGGTGGTGATCAAAGCTGTCACCCATCTACAAGATTCCTATACTACTGAGATTCAGATTAATCAATGCCTTGTGGTCAGAGAGAACACATACTTCTGAGCTGGTCACCGTCACTAAGTCATGAAATATTCAACTGCAAATTCTGAGTTTTAAAGTCTCTAATTATAATACAATAAGTGCTTTTGAAAATTGTGCTTGTTTGGACATCCTGAAGAAATTTAAATAAAATGTGTGTGTTGCATCTTGTTAAACTGCAGATTGGATAAACCAAATATATTGAGTTTCTCCTAAGAAAATGGTTTGGGCTTCCAGATTACATCTTATTTTTCACCCAATCAAGTTTGTATTGTACCACTTTTTTTTCTCATATAAAATGTCTTTCCCAAATTCACCTGCCCTCGGGGACTCTGAATTACACACTTAAAGGAGGTATTCTTTCCAAATGAGCTGAAGAATGGCATTCTGTTAAATGATGAACAGCTGGTCATGCAGAAATTCTCTGGAATGCTCACTTGTCCTACAAAGACAAGGAAAGAACTGAGATGTGCAGTGTAGTGTTTGTTATTGTTATACAGAATTGCTTATCTTTTTTTATTTTTACATCATCTTACCAAAAATCTATAATTTAAAAAATTGCCCTTTTTTAAAAAGACTGCTCGTCCAGTAAATAATGTGAAGATCCTGAGAACCTGCCAACTGCACATTCGGTGGGACTCAGGATTGTGCTGGAATTGTCTCCTTTGCCAAGACACTGTTTCTTAGATTAAGATTCAGGATCTTCCTGTTCAAAAATTACCCTTTGTTCTTGATTACCTTGGGGTTAAGTTCGAATTTCTTATCATAGTACTAAGGATTTGACTCTTGCTCATCTCCAAGTTCATCTCTCACTTCTTCCCCTATTGAATTCTTTGTTCCAGCCGTAAGAAACTAGCAGATGAGCTAAGCTCTTCCTTCTTCTGGCACAAGCAGCAGCCCTTCCTTTTACCGTGGCCAATTCTGACTTGTCCACCCCTGGTTCATTTCTTCTTCAAGTTATTCTTCTTCATATCCTCAAGGTCACTGCACAGGGGTTCTCTGTTTATTTGTGGATGAATCTCCCCACCAAGAGGTTTGGTTTCAGTTTGTGCTCTTTATTCTGGTTTGTTTCTCAGAATTTCTGTAGAAATTGTGTGAAGATGGAAGTAGGAGAGAGCTAGGGGCAAGGACAGCATTACCTTCCCCAGGTCACATATAAATGAGATGACAAAACAGAGATCTGGCCCTGTAGGCATTTGTAGAGAGAGGGGTCCATGGAGACCAATCTGCCCTTGGAAGCGCTCAGCTGTGCCTTGTAGTGTGGAGTCTCAGCACGGGCCAGGCCCTGGATTTTAGTTAGAGCTGAGCTACTGTTGTGCGATGTTGCAGACTGTCCAGGTGGCTCCAGAAGCGAGCTGGAGAATTCGTGTCCAAGGCGAAGATAGGCTAGAGCCTGCGCTCCTGGACAGAAGGGAGGCGAGATGCCATCTGAGGTCGCCTTCCCACACCCCTTCCAAATGGGACGGACGGGAGCGCTGTTGCTTCAACAATTGCCCTCTCTGTCCCAAGAAGACACAGTTAATGACCGCGAGCAAAGGAGGGTAAAGACACCGTGTCCTCTCGCCTTGTGCACTGAGATGTTTACGTAGGGTCGGGGAGGGCACACCTCCGCGGATCCCACGG